TGACGACGCACACCACTGGCTTGGTGCGGGGAGCTTGGATGGGCCGGACTGTACTGGGGACACACACCACTGGCCCTACACCGGGATCTGGAACGGGCCGGACCGGACTGGCAACACACGCCAGTACCTCTCGCCGTGCCTCTACTTCCTCCATCCCCTCTTCGACCAGTGGCCCCCGTAACCCGACGGCCTCCTCCGGCAACCCACTGGACCGCTCTATCGCGGCCTCCTGCTGGTCCGACGTCGTGAGCCCCCCCCTAAAAATGTTCTGGGGTTCTCTCCTCTTCGTGGACCAGGCCTCCATCGTTCTCGCCAGACTATCACCCCACTGCTCCAAAGTCCAACCTCTCTCCTCTTCTCTTGGCTTGGCCCAGTCGAGACTCCTACTCAACTGCTCCCAAGTCCCTCCTCTCTCTTCTTCATGCTGCTTGATCTGGTTAAGGTGGGTTTTTCTGTCACGATCGTCTAATGAGGGAGACCAAAGCGCAGCGCGTTGAGCGAACATGACTTTATTAAATTAAAGTACTCACTACAAAAAACAACAAACAATGACGAATCGTGAAGTCCTCAGTTACAATGACTGACAAGGAACAAAAACCCACAACACTAAGGTGAACACTGACAGTTTAAATATGGCTCCCAATCAGAGATAACGAGCCGACAGCTGACACTCGTTACCACTGATTGGGAGTCACACGACCAAACAAGGAAACACAACCAAATGAACACACCCTGGCTCAAAATACACAGTCCCGGAGCCAGAGCGTGACAATAGGTACACGTCAACTATGACAGACAAATTGAGATTTTTTTTCTCCAGAAAATCACATTGTAGGATTTTTTATGAATTTATTTGCAAATTATGGTGGAAAATAAGTATGTGGTCACCTACAAACAAGCAAGATTTCTGGCTCTCACAGACCTGTAACTTATTCTTTAAGAGGCTCCTCTGTCCTCCACTCGTTACCTGTATTAATGGCACCTGTTTGAACTTGTTATTAGTATAAAAGACACCTGTCCACAACCTCAAACAGTCACACTCCAAACTCCACTATGGCCAAGACCAAAGAGCTGTCAAAGGACACCAGAAACAAAATTGTAGACCTGCACCAGGCTGGGAAGACTGAATCTGCAATAGGTAAGCAGCTTGGTTTGAAGAAATCAACTGTGGGAGCAATTATTAGGAAATGGAAGACATACAAGACCACTGATAATCTCCCTCGATCTGGGGCTCCACGCAAGATCTCACCCTGTGGGGTCAAAATGATCACAAGAACGGTGAGCAAAAATCCCAGAACCACACGGGGGGACCTAGTGAATGACCTGCAGAGAGCTGGGACCAAAGTAACAAAGCCTACCATCAGTAACACACTACGCCGCCAGGGACTCAAATCCTGCAGTGCAAGACGTGTCCCCCTGCTTAAGCCAGTACATGTCCAGGCCCGTCTGAAGTTTGCTAGAGTGCATTTGGATGATCCAGAAGAGGATTGGGAGAATGTCATATGGTCAGATGAAACCAAAATAGAACTTTTTGGTAAAAACTCAACTCGTCGTGTTTGGAGGACAAAGAATGCTGAGTTGCATCCAAAGAACACCATACCTACTGTGAAGCATGGGGGTGGAAACATCATGCTTTGGGGCTGTTTTTCTGCAAAGGGACCAGGACGACTGATCCGTGTAAAGGAAAGATTGAATGGGGCCATGTATCGTGAGATTTTGAGTGAAAACCTCCTTCCATCAGCAAGGGCATTGAAGATGAAACGTGGCTGGGTCTTTCAGCATGACAATGATCCCAAACACACCGCCTGGGCAACAAAGGAGTGGCTTCGTAAGAAGCATTTCAAGGTCCTGGAGTGGCCTAGCCAGTCTCCAGATCTCAACCCCATAGAAAATCTTTGGAGGGAATTGAAAGTCCGTGTTGCCCAGCGACAGCCCCAAAACATCACTGCTCTAGAGGAGATCTGCATGGAGGAATGGGCCAAAATACCAGCAACAGTGTGTGAAAACCTTGTGAAGACTTACAGAAAATGTTTGACCTGTGTCATTGCCAACAAAGGGTATATAACAAAGTAATGAGAAACTTTTGTTATTGACCAAATACTTATTTTCCACCATAATTTGCAAATAAATTCATTAAAAATCCTACAATGTGATTTTCTGGATTTTTTTCCTCATTTTGTCTGTCATAGTTGACGTATACCTATGATGAATATTACAGGCCTCTCTCATCTTTTTAAGTGGGAGAACTTGCACAATTGGTGGCTGACTAAATACTTTTTTCCCCACTGTACGTTCCTGTACAGTACAGTGAGAGAGACAAGAGGATGCTAGATTAAATAACCATAGTCTGGGCTTTCAGCACTGCTAAGAGAAGGGTTACTTTCGGTGCATACATTCATTCCAAGTCGTTATGTCATAGTCTACATAAAGTGGACTCTCCCTGAACATATACAGTAATTTCTCAGCAGAACAGTAATTTGTGATGTATTTCCTAAACCGATGCCCTATTTCCTGACATGATATGGCAGCATACTGCTCTTCTGATAGCATATGAATGTTGTTAAATTAGATAGGCTACATGAGACATGAGTAACTCCTTGGACAAGAAACCCACATTCTCAAAGTATACATGAGAGGAATCTAAACATTGGCAATCATTTGCAATACCAGCCAAAATAAAAAGCCACTGTAAGCGTGGGAACCATTGAATGCCGCTGTACATGTTGGAGCAAGAGAATACAGAGGCTTTGCGATGGCATGCACAGGCAGAGCCAGCTATAAGGGCCCTGTGTGAAGTCAACAGAGAGGACCGTAACCTGAGAAGGCCTATCTCACGGAGTGAGACCGATCACTGATCTGGCCTGGAATCCCAGTCTGACAACTAATGAAGATAAGGTGCTAATAGAGGGGTAGTAATAGAGGCAGAATGAATAGAGATTGGGACATCATATCATGTTAGCCGTTAATCAACGTGCTGAAGAAGATTAGATTGTCTGACTTCATTTCCTGGGTGAGCAGCAGACACTGCCAACTGTCTACATTTGAGTCATTTAGCAGACGCTCTTATCCAGAACGACTTACAGTTAGCGAGTGCATACATTTTCATACTGGCCCCCTGTGGGAAATGAACCCACAACCCTGGCGTTGCAAGCGCCATGCTCTACCAACTGAGCTACAGGGGACTATAGAGGTCTAAAAACACAAAGCGAACCAAATCTGAACCACACTTCTCCCTCAGTCTTGAATCTTTAGTTATGGTGGTCAGACATATGATACAACATCCTCTTAGAAAATGCAGCAGATGTGCGGTTTTAGTTTTACGACCCTCACGCCAACTAGACTCATAGGGAGCAAAGCTGACCAAGGGGAGAGGTAAACTTCATGAGGTCCAGACTCCCTCTGGAGAGGATATATTTTATGAACTCAGAAGGGGAAAGCTGAAGCACGGCAGCCTATATATGACCAGAGAAATGATTCCACTGTTTCCAGACAGTTTAATGTATGAGTGAATCTTAGACAAGGGTTACTGGTAGGAACCTAGGACTATTAGGAATACCATTTAGCCAGAGTATCGTAGGAACACATGCCTGCATTCACAGTCAGTCAGTGCTGACATCAATATGAGTCAAGGGTCATGACCCTAGAAGCAAAGGTGAAGAGTCACAGGCCACCAATCAAAGTACATCACAGGGATACCTCCACAATGAACTGACAGATGGATGTTACGTCTCACTGCTCAGCAGATGGAAGACCATCTCACAAGAATTAGGCTTAGGTCTACATTCACCACCAGACGGTATACAGCTAGCACTTCTGATAAACCTATTGTGGCTGGTCAGAATCACGCACCTTTGCTTTTCAAGAGACAACAAGTGGATAGTTTCAGTGCTACATTCCATGATTTTATTTTACATTGATACGAATGGAAATAGCAAAGTCATGCAACAGACATTCGCATTCAGTTCTTGTTTGTTATGATTTACATCTTCACTTCACCATGGTCACCAGGGTCTGCACACTCAACACGGAGAGTGAAGCAGAATCATTTCCTCTTTGAAAACCCATTACCTAACCACATGACAGACGGTAGATGAGCTAGAGATTTCATGCTGATAGGTTGACTTGGATTAAAGTAGAAGAGTAGGCCTAGTCATGACAGGGTGGATGTCAGAGATTAAAGTAGTGGTCATTGGACATATGGAGGAACATGGGCTCTTCTTCATGGTGAAGTAGGTGAAAATTCAGCAGTAAATCAAACTATTCTAACTAACACCATTGACAATGTCCTGTTTCTACATAAGGGATTGTGACTGCAAAGGCAACACAAAGGGATGGTTTGTCTCTCAGTTCTAAGAAAGTCATTGACCTCAGAAGAATTTGAAAATGTTGCATGAGACTACTAAACCCTCAAAATCAAGGGGCATTTTTGTGAATGGAATCCCCTGCATAACAGCATATACTGTGCAGTAAACATTTCTCAAGAGGATGGAAGGAAGACTGGACGGATGACACCAGTGATGTAACACCCCTCTTTCACAGCTCCTAAGTGGATGAAAACATTGAGAAATGCCTGAAGGAAGCCATGTTGAATTCTGAAACTGCCATCTTTGGCAAGACAGACGGAATACTGGGTTGGGTAGGGATATGTCACAAAGATTCACTCACATTCTCAAGCAAACCATTGATCTGTTTTTCAGATCAGTGCCGCCTGAGCTGAGGAAGAGGAGATGAAGAGAGGACGCCATTTTACAACATTGGGATACAGCCATAGATCTGCGAGTTTTTGTTACAGCTATGGGGGGACGGACCACCTGGTTCTAACCGGGTTTAAGGCAAATTTACAGAATATGCTTCATGCCCCTCAGTAGTCCAAAACCTGGGCGGACCGCGTTAAGATCCACGTGGTTTCCCCAAATCAGCGCGGTTTCTGTCTACAGCTACAGGAAGCATAAAGGACGGAGAACGGTAAGGCAGCCAGCTCGAGGCCCGTCTCTACTACCATGCAGCGGCCGGGTGGTCGCCATCGCCACAATGGCCACTCTCTGCTCCGCAATAACAATTCCATGGCCTCATACATCGCTTCTCCTCCGCCGCGCGCTGCCTCCACCGGCGCCTATGCGGAATACTCCAACAACAACAACAACAGGCCTATAAAGGCCGAGCTGGTCTGCAAATGGACGGACCACGAGCACCGTGACCGAACTTCAAAACAAAGGATATGCGACCAAACTTTCAGCTCCATGCACGAGCTGGTGGACCACGTAAGCACCGAGCACGTCGCTGGGCTCGAGCCCCTGAGCCATGTTTGTATGTGGGAAGAATGCCTGAGAGAAGGAAAGGCGTTTAAAGCCAAATATAAACTGATAAACCACATCAGGGTACACACTGGGGAGAAACCATTCTCCTGTACTTTCCCAGACTGCGGGAAAGTGTTCGCTCGGTCGGAAAACCTCAAGATTCACACGCGCACGCACACAGGTGAGAAGCCATTTCAATGTGAGTTCACCGGCTGCCTGCGGAAATTTGCCAACAGCAGTGACCGTAAGAAGCACTCGCAGGTCCACACCAGCGCCAAACCGTACGACTGCAAGGCCCACGGCTGCTTCAAGTCCTACACACACCCCAGCTCCCTCAGAAAACACATGAAGATCCACCTCAACGCACTCAAGTCCTCTCCTACCTCGGAACCCATAGACCTGTCATTCACAGGGATTCTTGGGAAACGTAGTTCCCGGGATTATGTAGCTTCGCGGACTAACTGCTCATCTTCTAGGCTCTCGCTGCCTCCGGCGGTGTCCAACATTAAGGAGTGGTACGTGTGTACCAGGACCACAGGTCAGGGACAGAACTACCTCCAACTCACAGCAGATGAGATCAAGTCAGAGCCATGTAGCGGTGATGAGGAGTATTATAATACGACGTAGCAGCAGGACAATGCTTTGCAGTATGGACTGTGTGAACTACAATGAATCCCAAATACAGGGATAGAACTGGAAGATGAACACAACATACGTCCCCTGTCAATATGGAGATGTGGTGAACTCAACATACGTCCCCTGTCAATATGGAGATGTGGTGAACACAACGTACGTCCCCTGTCAATATGGAGATGTGGTGAACTCAACGTACGTCCCCTGTCAATATGGAGATGTGGTGAACACAACGTACGTCCCCTGTCAATATGGAGATGTGGTGAACACAACATACATCCCCTGTCAATATGGAGATGGACAGATGTGATGGAGACTTGCTGTATGTGTGAATGTCTGGGCCAGTATTCATAAAGCGTCTCACAGCGTAAGAGTACTGATCTCTGATCAGTTTTGCCTTTTTAGATCCTATTGAAAAAGATTACAGGGAGGATCTGATCCTCGATAAGCACTCGTATTCTGATGGGCGTTATGACGACCAGGCCCTAATGTCAGTGTATTATCTAATGAGAAGCCGCAGCCATGAAACGTATTGCCATAAGAGATTGAAGACAACATCCCTCTGATAAACACCCAGGATCAGGGCCCATATCCACAAAGCCTATCAGAGGAGGAATACTGATCTAGGATCAGCTCCAACCTCTTATTCATCATGATTTAAAAGGGCAAAACTGCTTTGTAAATACGGGGCCTGACCCGAGTTAGATTCTTGAAGATATTTGAGGTGCGCTTGATTTCCCTTGGAGTTTGCACTTTTGGGATTAGTCCATTGGTGCCTGTGTACCAGGCAAACTAAATTTACATTTTAGTCATTTAGCAGACGCTCTTATCCAGAGCAACTTACAGTTAGTGAGTGCATACATTTTTTTTCATACTGGCACCCCGTGGGAATCGAACCCACAACCCTGGCGTTGCAAGCACCATGGTCTACCAACTGAGCTACACGGGGCCTAAATCAAGTGCATCTCAAGTATTTGACATATGTAAATGTAAGTCGCTCTGGATAAGAGCGTCTGCTAAATGACTAAAATGTAAATGTAAATCTGAGCTCCTGAAATCCACCATAAACCACCCACACTCTCCTAGCAACTGGTACACACACATAAACAATGAACCAAAAGCATTAGGAAACCACAAACCTTGTCCAAAGATAACACTAGAACTTCAGCGCTGCCACACTGCAAAGCATGTAGAATATCATCACCTAGATCAGTGATTCCCAAACTGTGAGGCGCACCCCCCTGCGAGGGGTCCCCCCAAAAAACATACTACTAAAGTTGTAATAGTAGAATGAATGCACAAGGTGCAACTTTGAAATTGGGTAGTGCATCATCAGTTTTACTCTTGTCATGTCACATTTACATTGTAGTCATTTAGCAGACGCTCTTATCCAGAGCGACTTACAGGAGCAATTAGGGTTAAGTGCCTTGCTTAAGGGCACATCGGCAGATTTTTCACCTAGTCGGCTCAGGGATTAGAACCAGCGACCTTTGTTACTGGCACAACACTCTTACCCACTAAGCTACCTGCCGCCGTCACTCATTGCATACCTTAGAGAGCTATTTATAACTTGTCAGAAATGTCCAGATCAAGTAGCCCATGTCATCTTAAGTTTTTTAGATAGGTTTCTAAGCCCATAGATTTTGTAGTCATTCAAATATCACGTCAATACACATTAGACATGGCAAAATATATAGAATTGTAAGAAAATGTGCTTTAAAACTGCAAGGTTTTCTCTGCACCCCATGACAAAATGTGTAGAATTGCAGGAAATAAGCATTAAACCTGCAAAATGTTCTCTCTGCCAACAAGAGGGGTGTGAACAGTTTGTGTCATGAACAGTGCTTGTGCCCATAGAAATGGAAGGAGGGCCTGAGTGAAAAAGTTTTGGAACGCCTGACCTACAGTACCAGTCAAAAGTTTGGACACACCTACTCATTCAAGGGTTTTTCTTTATTTTTACCATTTTCTACATTGTAGAATAATAGTGAAGACATCAAAACTATGAAATAACACATATGAAATCATGTAGTAACCAAAAAAGTGTTAAACAAATCAAAATATATTTTAGATTTTAGATTCTACAAAGTAGCCACCCTTTGCCTTGATGACAGCTTTGCAAACTCTTGGCATTCTCTCAACCAGCTTCATGAGGAATGCTTTTCCAACAGTCTTGAAGGAGTTCCCACATATGCTGAGCACTTGTTGGCTGCTTTTCCTTTACTCTGCGGTCCAACTCATCCCAAACCATCGCAATTGGGTTGAGGTCGGGGGATTGTGGAGGCCAGGTCATCTGATGCAGCACTCCATCACTCTCCTTCTTGGTAAAACAGCCCTTACACAGCCTGGAGGTGTGTTTTGGGCATTGTCCTGTTGAAAAACAAATTATAGTTCCACTAAGCGCAAACCAGATGGGAAGGCGTATCGCTGTAGAATGCTGTGGTAGCCATGCTGGTTAAGTGTGCCTTGAATTCTAAATATATCACAGACAGTGTCACTAGCAAAGCACCCCAACACCATCACACCTCCTCCTCCATGCTTCACGGTGGGAACCACACATGCAGAGATCATCCGTTCACCTACTCTGCGTCTCACAAAGACACTGCGGTTGGAACCAAAAATCTCAAATTTGGACTCATCAGACCAAAGGACAGATTTCCACCAGTCTAATGTCCATTGCTCGTGTTTCTTGGCCCAAGTAAGTCTCTTCTTCTTATTGGTGTCCTTTAGTAGTGGTTTCTTTGCAGCAATTCAACCATGAAGGCCTGATTCACGCAGTCTCCTCTAACAGTTGATGTTGAGATGTGTCTGTTACTTGAACTCTGTGAAGCATTTATTTGGGCTGCAATCTTGAGGTGCAGTTACAGTGGGGCAAAAAAGTATTTAGTCAGCCACCAATTGTGCAAGTTCTCCCACTTAAAAAGATGAGAAAGGCCTGTAATTTTCATCATAGGTACACGTCAACTATGACAGACAAAATGAGAAAAACAAATCCAGAAAATCACATTGTAGGATTTTAATGAATTTATTTGCAAATTATGGTGGAAAATAAGTATTTGGTCAATAACAAAAGTTTCTCAATACTTTGTTATATTCCCTTTGTTGGCAATGACACAGGTCAAACGTTTTCTGTAAGTCTTCACAAGGTTTTCACACACTGTTGGTGGTATTTTGGCCCATTCCTCCATGCAGATCTCCTCTAGAGCAGTGATGTTTTGGGGCTGTCGCTGGGCAACACGGACTTTCAACTCCCTCCAAAGATTTTCTATGGGGTTGAGATCTGGAGACTGGCTAGGCCACTCCAGGACCTTGAAATGCTTCTTACGAAGCCACTCCTTCGTTGCCCGGGCGGTGTGTTTGGGATCATTGTCATGCTGAAAGACCCAGCCACGTTTCATCTTCAATGCCCTTGCTGATGGAAGGAGGTTTTCACTCAAAATCTCACGATACATGGCCCCATTCATTCTTTCCTTTACACGGATCAGTCGTCCTGGTCCCTTTGCAGAAATACAGCCCCAAAGCATGATGTTTCCACCCCCATGCTTCACAGTAGGGATGGTGTTCTTTGGATGCAACTCAGCATTCTTTGTCCTCCAAACATGACGAGTTGAGTTTTTACCAAAAAGTTCTATTTTGGTTTCATCTGACCATATGACATTCTCCCAGTCCTCTTCTGGATCATCCAAATGCACTCTAGCAAACTTCAGACGGGCCTGGACATGTACTGGCTTAAGCAGGGGGACACGTCTGGCACTGCAGGATTTGAGTCCCTGGCGGCGTAGTGTGTTACTGATGGTAGGCTTTGTTACTTTGGTCCCAGCTCTCTGCAGGTCATTCACTAGGTCCCCCCGTGTGGTTCTGGGATTTTTGCTCACCGTTCTTGTGATCATTTTGACCCCACGGGATGAGATCTTGCGTGGAGCCCCAGATCGAGGGAGATTATCAGTGGTCTTGTATGTCTTCCATTTCCTAATAATTGCTCCCACAGTTGATTTCTTCAAACCAAGCTGCTTACCTATTGCAGATTCAGTCTTCCCAGCCTGGTGCAGGTCTACAATTTTGTTTCTGGTGTCCTTTGACAGCTCTTTGGTCTTGGCCATAGTGGAGTTTGGAGTGTGACTGTTTGAGGTTGTGGACAGGTGTCTTTTATACTGATAACAAGTTCAAACAGGTGCTATTAATACAGGTAACGAGTGGAGGACAGAGGAGCCTCTTAAAGAATAAGTTACAGGTCTGTGAGAGCCAGAAATCTTGCTTGTTTGTAGGTGACCAAATACTTATTTTCCACCATAATTTGCAAATAAATTCATTAAAAATCCTACAATGTGATTTTCTGGAATTTTCTTTCTCATTTTGTCTGTCATAGTTGATGTGTACCTATGATGAAAATTACAGGCCTCTCTCATCTTTTTAAGTGGGAGAACTTGCACAATTGGTGGCTGACTAAATACTTTTTTTCCCCACTGTAACTCTAATGAACTTATCCTCTACAGCAGAAGTATCTCTGGGACTTCCTTTCCTGTGGCGGTGCTCATGAGAGCCAGTTTCATCATTGCGCTTGATGGTTTTTGCGACCGCACTTGAGAAACTTTAAAAGTTCTTGAAATATTCCGGATTGATTGACCTTCATGACTTAAAGTAATGATAGACTGTTGTTTCTCTTTGCTTAATTGAGCTGTTCTTGCCATAACAAGGACTTGGTCTTTTACCAAATAGGGCTATTTTCTTAATACTACCCCTACCTTGTCACAACACAACTGATTAGCTCAAACGCATTAAGAAGGAAAGAAATTCCACAAATGTACTTTTAACAAGGCACACCTGTTAATTGAAATGCATTCGAGGTGACTACCTCATGAAGCTGGTTGAGAGAATGCCAAGAGTGTACAAAGCTGTCATCAAGGCAAAGGGTGGCTACTTTGAAGAATCTCAAATATAAAATATATTTTGATTTGTTTAACACTTCTTTGGTTACTACATGATTCCATATGTGTTATTTCATAGTTTTGATGTCTTCACTATTATTTTACAATGTAAAAAATAGTAAAAATAAAGAAAAACCCTTGAATGAGTAGGTGTGTCCAAACTTTTGACTGGTAGTGTAAGTCACCTTGCCAAGAACTAGAAGAGTAGATAATGTACTCACAATACAGTAACCAATACCCTCCAGACCGACTAAAAACGTTCCAAATACAATGGTTCATAAGGTGCCTCCCATAAGGTGTCCACTGTCCAGGGTGTAATGACAGTACAAAGGACAGACTACAGACTGGGAGGCTCAACAATGGCGGTGCAGACACATAGCGTGTGTCACACGTATGAATAGAAGCTAATGTGTCGCATATGTTAAGGTAAGTTAAGCGTACACTGGAGCCACATGATGGGGTGTGGAGGGGTGTGTCACGGCAGGTGTTCCCCCTGAGTGAAAATTGTGGCACACGCCAGCCATCCTGTGATCATAAGGGGACATTCATGCAATAACACCTGGTTAGTGTTGGCCTCGTTGTAACTGGGCATAAATAATTAATTTACAACTATAGTAGGAGAGAAAGAGAGATAACTAGAGAGAAAGAGGTCTATCATCTTACTCCAAGTTCAGAATTATTTTGGACGCATTGTTATATGTCATTGTTTTACTGCTATAAGTACTGAAATTCAAAACTGTTATTTCATCTATCAAAGTCAAAGATCTCCAAATGCAAACACACCTGTCCTATTTTTCTGTTTATTCCTCATCAGTTATTTTTCTATTGGCATTGTTGGGAAGTAAGTAAGAATTTCACTGCTTGTCTACACCTGTTGTTTACGAAGCCCAAAAAAATCTATCTGCCAATCAAGAGTGAGGTTTAAGACAAAACTGTCACATTTCTATAGTGTCGAGAGCAGACTCAAGCGTCAACTCTAGAAATGCAATATCTAAAAGGAACAGTGATATGCCAGCAAAAGTACTGTACATCACCACTGTACATACTGAATGCACTGTGGGTGGGAGATGCCCATGTAGGCCACTACCTGTGGCACTGTGCAGACATCTTCCATTCTGTCAGTGCGAGGCAGGCTGCGAGCACACAGGCACCATTTCAACTGGTCCCCAGTCTCTTGGCTAAGGTAGTGGGAACAGTTTTTATTAACTATGTGTGAGATTCCCCAGACAGACGGCCTATACCAAGTTGTACATGAACTACACAGTATGTTGGGAAGGAATAGGTGGATTGGGGATATTCTATCTGTCCCTCACTCTCCTTTTCTGACTGCCCGGTCTAGTGCTGTGGTGAGAGAAAGATGACAGGCCAATGGCCAATAGAATAAATAGAACGAAGAAGAAAATTGAAGATAAGAAAATAACAGAATAGAAGATTACAGAAGATAATAACCTTTCAATGCATGTCATTCCAAGCCACATTTGAGTACAAGTACTGAGAGAGCCTGTGGCACATACGGTGGTGTTTTAGGTCTTGCAGGGCTCACTTCAGTAACTGCAAGAAGACGCAATACATTGTCAGGTGCTAGCTGTGAAAATGACAGTTTATTGCTCTGTTGACAGCATTATAACGGTAGTGAAATCAAAACAGAACAGAGTAACGGTAACTACTGAATTAACCAATTGTTCTGAAACTAAGTGAGTCACATCTTTTCCATGACAGGCAAATATTATCACCAATGAGTCAATGGCCTTTTTCAGGTTTTCCCCCAAAATACCTCAACACAGCACTCTCTTCAAACCACCCCTGTCTTATAGTGGTTTCAGAACGTGCGGTCTCTGAAGCTTACAAGATGACTGTACTAATGACAGGGTGAAGGGTCTTCGCCTCCACCTATTGGCTAAACTCAGTAATGTGCTATGAATGTCCAACGTATCCAGCATAAACAATATCTCAAAACATATACACACCACACCAAATATACTTAAACAAATAAATGTAATTGCACATAAACAATGACCCATTACCCATCATTTGAAAATGAAAATCATCAACCTAAATTCTATTACCAATTCTACATGAAGACAACAACCCCTACAATAGGTAGTTCACCCAGCAGTGAGTGCACCTTGTGTTTGGTCCTTGATTCCTATGGTCTCCAGTCTCCACTCTTTATCCCTTTAGCTCTGTCAGCCTGAGGACCACTCCTGTTGCTTTCCCTCGGGGGTTCGTCTGTAGAGCAGCATATATGCTGTGCCTTCTCTGTTAACAAAGGATAAGACACCTGTCAACTGACGGCATTGCCCCCCCCAGAATTGATCATGTATATTACTGAGCGTTGTCACCATTCTAAAGAGAAGCAATTGAACATTTTGTGATAGATCCTTACCTTTCACTTCCTCCATAGGTGTTCTGTACTTCCTCCCAGCTAACCTGTGTTTGTGCAAATGTTATGTTACTTTTAATGACACCAAAGAAACGTATATGTATAATACAAACTTGCTGAGTGGTGTAAACATTCTTCCACTCATTTTCTCTTACCTGCCGTACATTACTATCATCAGCGTAGTACCAGCTCTGGTCCTTCTTGTGACGAACGTACGCTGTGTAGTGTCCAAACATGGCATCGCCAGAGTGCACTATGACTGCACACAAACTATACTGGCTGTCACTCTGAAAGCATGAACAATTCCTGTACTGATGTCTGTCAGTACAGCTGTACTATTCCCCTCCAATGATGTTGTGATAAAATGTAATTGGGTTTATGTAGGCCCATGTGTCATTTTATTTATGTGCATAATGTTGTATATTAGTATACCTCAAACAAAAATGGTAAACATATGCCTACCTACCTGTACATAACTTTGTGACAGTGCCTCTGCTGTCAAGATCTCAGAAATGTTCAGGGTTTCTGGGAAGGTGACTTTGCAGTGTAGTTTCCTGGTGTAACCACGGGAATTACGGAATCTCTTCAGGTGAAGACACAAGATAGGGGGCAGGGAGATGAGTTTGAAGCCCTACATAAGAACCAAGAGTAATTCAGTGAACAGGCAAATCACAACAGTCTCTACATTGGAACATCCTTTCAGTTAGAAAGAACTGACCTGTTTGGATGGCTTCTTCTCTCCACACCTCTCACAGTAGCAGTTATCCCTGTCCCTTAGCTCCTGAAGCTCGAAGAATAACCGTATACAGTCATCCTGGAAGACAACAGTATGGGAAAGACACAGAGACTCAGTTTTCATTTTAAACAAACCACATCCTTCCTTTGACAGTTTAAAAAAAGAAAAATTAAACATTCATGGCTAAGTACTTTGAACAGAATCCCAAGTTTGAGGGAACCCTCACCAGGGAGTTGTGGCTGTCCTTTAAGTGCATGGGGAGGCTGAGCAGAAAGCTGGTCCCAGATTCGATGTATGTACATTCTAGACACTGAAGGTACGTCTCCATGGTAACCTTGTACAGAGACTGAATCTCCTGAGCCTGGGGAACACAGACAGAGAAACTTCCTATCGTATCATCTCCAACATGCTTTTTGTTGGGTGTCCCTGTTGTTATTTTTAGTTGATCTAATATAATGTAAATTTAGGTAGTACATACCAAGGCCTTGTCACTCATCTGTTGTTGGATAAGGTTTAGAATGGAGAGGAATACCTCATCTGCATCATGCTGAACATGGACTGTGAAACATATTCTTGTCAATGTTAAAGTTGCAGACAGAAATATTATATTATTTGTAATTCATAATTTAAGTCCGAATTTGAGTTGGGTGAAATTGACCCATGTCATTGCTTTTTTTCTCCCTGTAATGACAGGTAGACTACTCATACGGCGGATGTAATTTCTGTCCAGGCAGTGCAGGAAGTCTTGATGAGGAGCAGGCTGGGACTGGTCACTCTGCATGGCTAGTAGCACCTTCCTCAGCTGCAGAGGGACACTCTCCTTGTACTTATCAACTGGGTTCCACCTAAGAACATAACATTCCCAGCACTCAATGCTTTCCCACAAGCAGCCTGTTAAACACCAGTATCCTAACTAATGTCTTTGTTACATGTTGATTCTTAATAGCAAAGTATTGTAACCTGCCACCTTGCTTACCTGTCTAGCAGGTCTACCAGTTCCCAGGTGGCAGAGAAGGACTGCAGCAGAGCGTTCACACAGCATGACAGGCCATAGTTCATCAGACCTCTCAGGCCTATGGGCATCAATATGATCAGAACAACATAGCTGCATGCCTCAATTCTATCCAGACAGTTAAGTAATAATAATTGATTATGTCTCACAGGAGGTTGGTGGCACCTTAATTTGGGGTGGACGGGCTGGTGGTAATGGCTGGAGCGGAATCAGTGGAATGGTTTCCATGTGTTAGACGCCATTTCCATTCACTCCTTCCAGCCATTATCATGAGCCGTCTTCCCGTCAGCAGCCTCCTGTGCTAGTGACCATATTGATCAATGCAAAGTGTGTGGTGTAAAGTGCAGTGATGCTACTGTTGATTATGGTCAGAATTTGTTCCTGACCATGTGATCAGAACAGGGAAACTCAGGACCCTATAGCGGCTCAGTAGGGTTCAGTTATAGGGAATAGTGTAAAACATGTTCCGAGATCAGGGAAAAATAACCAGCCCATTGGCTTGTTTCAATATCTACTTTCCACCATATGCATATAGTCCAAGCCCTACCTTGTAACCTACTCCTGAAAGGTTGATTGAAACTACGGCTGAACACTGAGAAAATGCTTCCTGCCATCAGGGCTATCGTTTTAGCTCATAGATTGCTGGACTACTGTTGTTGAGTTGAGAAGTCCAAGGGGTTCTTCTCCCTGTGAGTGAAATACAAATCGATAACTGGATCGTCATCATACATTTTTACATAGCTGAGTTTACTCAACTTTGAGAAACTCGGCTAACATTAGGGGTGCATTTTTTTGTGAACTGCATGCACCTGCAGGCTATAGTGTATTTTTTTGTGAATCAAAAACACTGCATATAACATAATAGTTATTTATTTTAAGCAAAGATTTCACTTACTTAATCGATCTCATTGACTATCCACAGCCTTCGGGAAAATACTATGGAAAAGACGCGACTTGACTCGACTATGGCAGCATCACTTTCACTTTCTATTTCTGTCAAACTTTAGGTAAAAACGAAACTAATGAAACTGAGTCCATTATATCGCCCTCTGCCGGCCTTTGGGCTAAGTGCCATTCATTTCTACCGATTTCTATTTTCTTATTGTTGGGCTTTGTTGAGGTCGCCACATACAGTATTTTAAAACAGCATTGAGTGTCATTATTTGCCTGTAAAATTCCATGTCAGGACTATAAAGTAGTTGACAGCGACAGTTAATACAAATTGGACTTCTGTTATGAAAAGGTTGTCCACATAGTGCTAGATAGCTGTGTAGGCAACCATTTTAAATCAGCATGGAGGCAACCTTTCGCAGCAGGAGAAGATATGGGACTTATTTAAGCAATAATGCACGAGGGGTGTGGTATATGGCCAATATACCACGGCTAAGGGCTGTTCTTATGCACGACTCAACGTGGAGTGGCCATATACCACAAACCCCAGAGGTGCCTTATTGCTATTATAAACTGGTTACCAACGTAATTGGAACAGTAAAAATAAATGTTTTGTCATACCCGTGGTATATGGTCTGATATACCACGGCTTTCAGCCAATCAGCATTCAGGACTCGATCCACCCAGTTTATAATATGGGATAAGATATAGAACTATTGATGGGGGCTTCCTTCAGAGTGGTACAGTATGAGACCCACATGGTTGGTTGGATGGCACCCCCTAGTGACAAACCTGAGCAAGCTGTAATTGATTCAATGAAGAATGAGGATGAAGCTCCCAGGGGTTGAGGTCTTTACATTTTAGTCATTTAGCAGACGCTCTTATCCAGAGCGACTTACAGTTAGTGAGTGCATACTTTTTTTTCTTCTTCTTCATGGCAGGGGCATCATTTCAACTAAACCTAGGGTATGGCAAAGTGGAAGGGGGGGTTGAAGCTCATTTACTACATTTCTACACAATTAAAAAAACTCTAAAATGCATTTTGGAGAACAACCTAAATGTACTCCAGCCATTCTCACCTTGGCTGCAGTAGCTTCATTCACCTCAGTCGATAGGGGACTTAACATTCTACAAACGTCATACAGCAATTAGCTACTACGCACTAGCTCACAGAACAGGGATCAAACACTCTAGTTTAGTTACATGTCAAGTGAAACAGCAGTTACCGAGCCATCTTCCAGATCTGCACTGTTTAGAGAAAAGTCGCACTGTTCTCTGGAGAGCCGCGTCGATACTCTCTCTGTCCATAGTCCTAAAGCCAGCTAGCCATAGTCCTAAAGCCAGCTAGCCATAGTCCTAAAGCCAGCTAGCCATAGTCCTAAAGCCAGCTAGCCGGGCGGGCAAACAGCCTTCCGCCCTGCGCTGAGCCCTCCGCATGTTCCTAAAACCAGCCCTCTAAGACCGCTAAACTGCATTTGCCTTTTAATTGGGATAGGAATGATTTTAGTTGCCCATTTTAAATTGTTGGTTTTGAGCTAGGTAGGGTATGGCGACTGCCATACTCTGCCATACCCAATTGACGCCCCTGCTTCACAGGTCCAAAATGTTGGGCCCATACCCGAACGAGGACAATCAGACCCGGATGGACCTGGTCATTAAAAAAAAAAAACAGACCAGACCCGAATGGATAGCAGGACAAGTTAGACTTTTGGACCCGGTCACTTGTTTTTACCAATGATGTATATAAACCCTAGATTGCTGATTATATGTATTGGCCAATGAGAGGCTTTGAAGCCACGGTCTGTCATATTGGTACTCCTCAAAAGGAGTAGTCCTCATAGATGGGTTGGTTGTTTAGCAACAAAACCAACGTGTGCGCAGCTTTGGGGCAAAACAGACAGGGTTGGCTTAGATTGTTGACAACATGTTAACTCTATTATGTCTCCAAATGTTTATTGAAAACATAAATACATTTGCACAATGAGCACTTGTCTCTCAAATACATCGTTACAGTTGTTGGTTAGCTAGCTAGTGAATTTTAGCCATATTAGCATTGACATGAAATCAGTCAAAATGTTAGAAATTGCGTAATTCAAATCTGGTATTGGAATAAGAATCAAGAGATCTTCAATCCAAGCTTAATTTATTATATGCAAAATGTATGTATGATAAGTATGAAGGTTCGTATATACGGGTCCGCTGAAATACCACGCAGGGCACTCAGAGAACTGATCAATTGTTACCGGTTCTTCCTCAAATACTCTGACAGAGAGAGTTCCCACCTCTCTGCTGGCCAATCAGAGTAGACGCTGAGCGTGGTTTAGACTTACTCAGCCAATCCGTTGGCGCACGGGTTGGTCCCAACCCCTCTGCGCTCCACTTGTTGCACACTGTTGCCAGGCATAAGTTTATCATAACAACCTGTGAAGTCAGCACCCAAAAGACACCATTCCACTGTACTACGTTCAAGGACGGTTCACAGACAACAAAGAGGCAGTGTTCGTATCTGTGAGAAATACAAGTCTTATCTATAAGAAATACAAGTTTTATCTCATCCTAGCCCCTAACGTTCCTCACATGAATCACAGCCTGTTATGTGAAACAATTTATATCAGTATAGTTCAAACCTATGCTCCTCATTAATGCATTCCTTCTAAGCTATTCATCACTTCAATCCAATTATGAGAAAACAAATCCCAACAAAAACAAGTCATGGTATCAAGCACAAGATAAAACTAGCTGAAACGAGCCACCTACAATTCCCCACATGGCAGCTTCTTGTCATTGTTGCCAGCTATCTGACCCTTCAGAATCATAACAAACCACGGCTTCCGGCCACCTCAATGCTGCCACATTATTTATGTGCGTTGTCTACCAACCCATCATTACAATTGTTCATCACTTAGTTTAATTTAATTATTGGTGCATAACTTTACATTTACATTCTGGTGTGTACATAGATTGTAATTTACCATTATATAAAGTCAATAGCACTACAAAAATGCTTGCATTGTAGAAAACAGATAATAGCACATCTAGTAATCATAATAAGGTGCATGTCAAGATGAGCTGTAATTGTCAAACATTTAACAGAGTGCTAAATCCATTTCTCTAATTCACAAAAGCCTACGTTTTTGCCTCAGTTTAATATCAAAGGGTTCACAGTTCACAGCTCACAGTCAGCCTCAACTAATGACACAGGAGTTCTCAGGTTTAGGTGCAGGTGTTGGTGCTGGTCTGTGTGTTGGTGCAGGTCTAGGCGCTGAGGCAGCCGCTGGTCTGTATGCTGGTGCTGGTCTAGGCGCAGGTGCAGCTGGAGGGTAGTATGGCTGGTAGACTTGCGACCATGCGTCATCCTCATTATAATGGATGAGGTACTCTGGGTACACCTGGTGCTTCTCAAACACCACAAAGATGGAGGGGTTGCTGACGTCATCCACACAGCTGTCGTAGAAGATGGTGTCCCCTCCGTCCTTCGAGGGGGGCCGGAGGTAGCTGGAGTGCCCTTTGGTGTAATCACCCGCCAACACACGACAGACAAACATGGACTTCGTATTTGATTGGCCAGTGTAGCTGTTGGAGTATTTGGCATCCCTGGCAAAGTAACTCCCTGACATTGGATGTTAGGGGATAAAGGGGTAAGCAGTAATCATTAATCACAGGAAAATATATGATATAAATGATATATCATCTCGCTTTATGTCAATAATTTGAAAAAAATGTAATAGCACAAGCACATGAAACAGCTCACCTTTCCCATAGGCTGTTCCGTTTAGTCCACAGATCCGCCAGTCAAAGTTGTTAAGGCAGATGGCATCGAGGTATTTGGAGTCTGTGCCATGGAAAAGCTGTTTCTCCGTCACATTCCTCCCTCTGTTGTTCTTCTTCATGAGATCCCTTTGCCTTGCAATCAGAATAATACCAATAAATCCCTTTGCCTTGCAATCAGTGTATGTCCTCTAGAAGCACTGTAGACAGGGAGCAGAATATATTGGAAATCAATTCTTTGTATTTCTTTTTAAGATGATATTTGTGACCGAAAGTTAGTTGAGAGAGAGAATGCTTGTATAATGTGCAATTATTGTGCAAGCAGTCAGGAAGTGAGCATCTATTCTAGACCAATCAATAACTCAGGTGATCGTCAGTTGAAAGTTTATGTAGTCTTAGGGAACGTACCACTGAAAGACTTCCCAGAGTGCTTTGTTCTGAATCCTCTCGATTTGGCGGATGCTGAAGCCTCTCATGGTGTTCTGAAAAAGCCCTTGAATCTCCTTAAACTCCACTGATGAGCACGGAAGGTCGACTCTCTGATAGGTACATGATGGGCGACAGAGGAACACAGTCATAATACACCCTTAGCCTACCATATAGGGACAGATTGGAGCAGTTATTTGCCCAGGAACAAAACAAACAGCCATCTCCATTGGTCTAAAATAGCAGGTTCCATGCATCTGGTATGTACTGTATATAATATAATACCTTGCATCCTGTTTCAGGAGTTTGTGCCTTGTCCCAGTGTCCTGGTAAAGCTCTGAAATTTGAGTGATTGCTCGGAGCCCTTTTGCTGAAATGTAGAAGAAGAATACATATTTAAGACAATGAGTTGTAATTGTACAGGTCCTACCAGACAATAGTTCGTAATGGCACATGCAAAGATTGGACATTTGGTAGTCTAGCAGTTTAAACATTATTTACAGTCAGCGTTTCCTCTTCTATCGACTACGTTCAAGGCAAGAGAACACACAAGGAGCCTTGTGGTGAAGGAGTCATTTAAATAGCAAATTGATCCATACAAAACATTCACAACTTTATCTTACCTGGTTTTGATAGTTTGTGCATCAGCTGAAGAGACAAACACAGGCCGTCTTCTCACAACCTTCTTGGTGCTGTACTGCTTGTTTGTTTGAATCATGTCTGAAAAGGAGCAGAGCTGTCGTAACAACAGACAGTTCACTTCACATGCAGATGTCATTTTTTTACTGTAGTGACTCCATCCAGAACTATCTCAATTTGTCACTAGATATGCAGTACTAGCTGTAAGAATCACTGCATATCATTTCGTAATATACTATGTTTGGTGTATATGGTTTTAATGCTGCAGTTGGTTTATCTTGGAAATCACGTCATCTGTGCTCACCTGGGAAACTGAGTTCATAGGTCTGTGACCCCGCGGTGAACTCTGTCACAGCCTTGTTGTCTTCCTGGAACCTCTTCTCCAGGTCTTCACTGGTGATGGTGGCTGCCCTGTGTCCACCGCTCTGTAGGGCAAGACAGAAAACATGGGGGTTATGCATTATTTGCATAATTTTTATTTAAAGAGGGACTGAACTCTGTCCTATTCAACCATCACTATTCAACACTGCTCGTCGTCACTCACTGCTGATGCGTACTGGATCCAGTTTCCAAACTCGTCCTCCCAGAACCAGGCCCACTCTGTGGTGAGGATGAAGGTAGGCTGGAGCACAGAGGAGATGGTGGAGAGACGCCGGGCTTTGTTCAGACCGCAGGTCATTGTATCGAAACACACAGGCTGGACTCCCCGACTAGACAAGATAAAACACAGCGAACCATCAGCAATCACAACAGGGGAAGCTGTATATCACACTAACTAGAAGCGTATTTAAGCAATAAGGCCCGAGGGGGTGTGGTATATGGCCAATCTACCATGGCTAAGGGCTGTTCTTACGCACAATGCAACGTGGAGTGTCTGGATACAGCCCTTAGCCGTGGTATATTGACAATATACCACAAACCCCCGAGGTGCCTTATTGCTATTATAAACTAGTTACCAACGTAATTAGAGCAGTAAAAATAATTGTTTTGTCATACCCGTGGTATACGGTCTGATATACCACAGCTTTCAGCCAATCAGCATTCAGGGCTCGAACCACCCAGTTTATAAATTGCATTAACTCATTGTACTAACAACTAGCAACATTTACCCACCATTGACCAAGTGCCCTATGTGTTACTGTCCATTCAAGTTCATTCTTCTTAAACGTAGAGCACACCTGTATGTCTTTGCTGGGTCGCAATAGTCCTTCTCAATCACCTCGTTGTCTTGTAGAGCTGTCCAGTTTAGTCCCTCCCTCACCTCCCATTGGTAGGGCATGGTAGAGTGGGCTTTAAAGCACTTATCTGAAATATGAGTAAAGTTAGGTGTTGAAGTCTTATGTTTATTAAGCTATAAGCATTGATTATTCATAAAATTATGCTTTGTAAAATGCTGTCTTACCACCGTGCATGCAACTCCCCTTGATGAAGTACATACATATTTCAGTTTTATCTGAAAAAAGAGAACCAAACATTTAATTTATCATGCCAATAAAAACAACAGCTATACATTTTGATAGCTTGTGACTGGGAACTTGTTCATCATTCATTGGATCTTAATACCAGTTAATAACCATGTAAATACACTGTAACTGAGCACATGAAATTATAGGTTATTTTAAACAAGAAATCCACAATCAACCTACGTGTTGATTATTGTCATCAATGATGGGCTATGACTGCATGACCACCATGCTAAGTGCAGTATTACCATTACCTTGACCAGGTCTGTTTTTCCAAAAATATATAAATTAGCCTACTTCGATCTGTACAGATTTATAATAGCATTCAAAATAATACACCAGAGAGCTGCAATTTGGGAAGCAAGCGCGCCAAATATCGAACTGCTTGTTGCGTTGCGGCCATCTAAATAGAATCCATGGAAGATTGGAACCTCTAACCCTGGTAATTTGACTGGTAAACTCATGAGTACACTCACAATGGCTGCCAGTCCTAACTTCAATGGACACAACCGTTCTATGGATTCTATTTCTGTCAGTGAAGAGCAGCTATAGGCCTTTCGTAAATGTCTAAATACAATCGCGGGAAAAACGTAGTTTGAAAAGCAAATGACTCCTGTTGAAAAGAGAACACTAATCTGTCTGCAGAAGCTACCAAATGTTTTCTCAACAATTCCCAATATTAAACGAACAGCACCATCACTGGTGAGTAGCCTACATATATTCATGCTATCTTTATCATTGGGTAAGTCAGTGCCACTGGATATTTTATTTAGTAGCCTATTATGTAGCCCAAGGTTTCTTAAACCATGGGTCGGGTCCCAAAGTGGGCCCTGGGCATGTGAGAGGTGGGTTGCAGTTATGAGAATGCATCTATAATCACACACTATATCTTCTAACACCTACAAGATATTAGGAATTAGCATTAGGTTCCACTAACTGCTATGTTCTCATAAATTATACAAACTCACTTTACTATCTTTACACTTTAGTAAAACTATATTACAGTATAACACAATATTAATTTAATGACTTGAGTTAACATGCTAATAACAGTGTAGCCCTTACCGTGACTACTCTGTGGGCCTCGGTTTGACTTACTTGTGTTAGTGGTTGCATTAGCTTTAGCTCTTTGATATTGTTGCTTGCCACGGTCTTGCTTTTGCAACCACTCGATGTTCATGTACACAGACTTCAGGGAGGCAATGAGCTCGTTGGGCACCCCTCTGTCCTGCAGGATTTTTAATGGGTGGGGTTCGTAGAAATCATGACACCTGGGACAGTTGCAGCTACCGCTGAGATACATCTCACAGATGTGGAGCCTCTTGCATGTCTCGCCATCCTGGCATTTGCCATACTCTCCAACACCGTTGTTGTAGTTGTGGCACACCTAGCAGAAGGAAAATGTTTGTACGAGAAAAATATACACACAAACACACATACATGCATGCACGCACACACATACATACACACAAAAAAAAATGTATGCACGCATGACTGTAAGTCGCTTTGGATAAAAGCGTCTGCTAAATGGCATATTATTATTATTATACACATGTACGTATGAGCACACACACACACAGTATTCCATTTATATTTATGCACACTATGGCACAAAATTTGAGGAATATTAGCTTAATTTAGATCATGATCACTAAACACAACACCTTAACCAGACAGAGTATACTTTAGCATAGGGGCCTGCAGTGTGACGTACTGGTGGTAAGAGGAAGCCATCATTCTGAAGCAGCAGAGTGCACAGCTCAGATCTGTTCAGTTCCTCCAGTCCGTGTTCTTTCAGGATTCTGCTGTTGTACCCCGAGGTCAGGTCATGGTTGAAGCGACATCCTCCTCTGTAGTCAAAAGTAAACATTTTCTTGATACAACCTTCCATCACACTGGGCACAAACTGGTTGAATCAACGTTATTTGTCAACGTAATGTGACATGAAATCTACGTAGAAAATACACTGAGTGTACAAAACATTACGAACACCTTCCTAATATTGAGTTGCACCCCCTTTTGCCCTCAGAACAGCCTCAATTCGTCGGGGCATGGACTCTACAAGGTGTCGAAAGCGTTCCACAGGAATGCTGGCCCACATTGACTCCAATGCTTCCCACAGTTGTGTCAAGTTGGCTGGATGTCCTTTGGGTGGTGGACCATTCTTGATACACACGGGAAACTGTTGAGCGTGAAAAACCCAGCATCGTTGCAGTTCTTGACACACTCAAACCGGTGCACCTGGCACATACTACCATGCCCTGTTCAAAGGCACTTTAATATTTTGTCTAGCCCATTCACCCTCTGAATGTCACACATACACAATACGTCTCAATTGTCTCAAGGCTTAAGTCTCCTCCCCTTCATCTACACTGACTGAAGTGGATTTAACAAGTGACATCAATAAGGGATCATAGCTTTCACCTGGATTCACCTTGTCAGTCTATGTCATGGAAAAAGCTGATGTTCCTAATGTTTTGTGCACTTGGATTTGAAAAAGTTTTGAGGGTGAAATTTCAACATAGACAAAGCTTGTATAAAATATGTTGAATTTGGACCTTTGAAACAACGTCAGATCTTCAACGTTATATTGACTATCAAAAAAGAAACTATAGACTGGGCAGCATCTCCAACTGGAGAATTGATCCATCTAAAGCTACCTTTTGGTCTCCCATACAGGATTTTAACCAAGCCCAGCCCTGCACAGCTTTGATATTTGTCACTGACTACTACCAATGTGCTATTGTGAGAATTATTATTAAGAGATCTCTTAATAACCAAATAGATTTACTGTTGCTATCGAAGTAATTCTGCAGGTTTAACAGAGCAAAATAAATGTTACCTTACTTTAAAAGTCATATATAATCTAATAGGCCTATGTAGCATTTGCGAAATCAACAACTATTGTTTCAATTCAACCCAGGGTTCAACAAAAAATAGACAACACATGTAGGCCTAGGGTTTCAAGCTTTGGTTGATTTCAAATGTACTCAAGTTAATAATTAATATGTTGGATTCACGTCTCCATCTCAACCAAAAACCTAAGTTAAAGATTAGGACAAAATCAAATCAAACTACATTTAAAGTTTGATTTGATTTAGTCCTATTCTTAAACTTAGATTTTGGGTTGAGATGGAGACGTGAATCCAACATATCAATTATTAATTTGTAGACAAACTGGAATTTAAGCCAGATTAAGTCAGTGGCACAAAAGCTACATCTCTTTCAAATGTTGATATTTGGTTGCATTGACATTTCAATATCACTTTTGCCATACAGTAAATAGCCTTAAGTTAAGGCTATCTTGCAAACTAATGTAACAGTATTTATTTAAGTGATAATGCCCGAGAAGACGGTGTTTGGAGGATATATTGGCACGGGTGTTGTTAGGCCAGAGATAAAGTATTTTTGAGTGGGTGAATGAATATTGAAATTTCACTGATCAACGTCTCAACCAAATATTACAAAAATACCACATTGAAATGACGTAGTGTGCCCAGTTGGATGCGCCTATAGGCCTATACTTATTCCATTGGAAACAGTAAAAATAGGGATCCTACACAGTACCCACTGGGCAAAAACTGGTTGAATCAACGTTGTTTACACGTCATGAAAAAAATATGTAATGTGATGATGTTGAATCAATATGGAAACATTATTTTTCTCACCCAACTTTGAACCTAAATTTAATGTGATGGATTTTTGGTTGATTTCACGTTGAATTCATGTTAGTTGACAACTCAACCAAATGTAAATCAAAAATAGACTTTGAACTGACGTTTGTTCTCAGTGGGTATTTGATCAGTGCATGATAACATGCCCAGGCCTGTTTCTTACAATGTATTGCAACTTCTAGACCTACATTTTATGAACTTTTAGCCTAGTGCACAATGGAAAAACTTTTGAGCAGTGCCTAGAGGTTTCAAGATGTGCTCGAATGCAATGCGCGATTGGGGGAGAATTTAAGCACTGTATGCTTAAATATGCACCAAAAAAAACATTTCTGACATAGAATTAAGCATAATGATTATGACTCTAGATTGCAGGAAAATGCTGTTTCAGTTGTTTGAAAAATGCTACATTCTCCAACATCCAAATGGGGGCCTAGCCCCCCTCAGACCACCCCAGAGGTATTCTCACATACTTTGTGCCCCCTCAGATTTTTGGTATGCATGATTTGGAAGAGTATTAGGCCCAAGTGAAGACAAAAAAATAAAATATACATTATGGGTGGAGGTACCTGGATTTTTTTTTGCACAGATTGTACTTTATAAACTTGAAATACTTTGAGAATAAAGTCGACATTTCGAGAATAAAGTTGAAATGTACTTTTTTAAATAAAGTCAACATTTTATTTTGTGAATAAAGTGGCAATATTTCGAGAATAAAGTGGTAATATTTTGAGAATAAAGTGGCAATATTTTGAGAATAAAGTCGCAGTTGTATTTCAAGATTAAAGTAGGGGATTTGGTTAATAAATGCATACCTCCTTGGCTCTCTGTTGCTGTGTGCGCCACCTTTGAAATGCCTGAGTTAGATGACTGTTGAAACTATACTTTAGAATTGGCTTTAGTAACAAGGAAATCCTTGCTCTTTTAGCACATAACCAAATTATTGTAAGTATTAGGACCTGGAAGAGGTTGTGACTGCCACAGATTGGGTATTTTCATTAGGAGGAACCACACGGACTTGGATTAGGTATTTCATCCAAGTCCGTGTGGTTACATAAATAGGTAGAGACGGGTGCGTTAAAACAAACAAACGGCCATAATAATCTAATACACTTGTTCAAACAGGCGTCACTGCGCACTCACGCTTATCAACCTAATGATCTAATAACTCGCACGCACACTCACAAGTTTCCCCCTGGCAATTTCAGACTATAGGCATACACTCTTCTAATGGCCATGGTGTGTTATGAGCACAAACAAAAAAACTAATCTTGGCACTGTCACTGACCTGGGTTGAGTCGCTGTCAGCATGCCCGCCACCTTGCAAAAAATCAGTGCATAATGGCAACTATTAACGACCTTATCCATGGTGCTTTACTAACAGTAGTATTTACCCCTTATCGCAACTATCCTTTTAACGACTATAGGCTAGTAGGCTACGTGAGCACCCTACACCCATTGAAACAAATTATATTGGGATCCTGGAGACCGGGGGCTATGTGTGTGCGTGTCCCATGTCAAGCTGCTCTCCAAATTTGCTACAACACCGCTATTTTGCATCCCATTATAATCCTATAGCGGCCCACTAGATTGGGTACCCTAACATGTACACTAATCGTACGTTACAGTGGGCAAGTGAAAGTAAATTATAGGCCTATCCAACGGCTGCGGGAGGAATGAACAATGAAGCAGGGATTTTACGCAAACGTGTCTGTAAGAGGAGAGGCAACTCGAGGACCACTCCTGCATGCGCAAAGCAGCTAATCTGAGGGCTGTTTCAATATATTAATATTCATTAATTAACTCCTTTTCTTGACATAATCATTTATCTAAATATAGGCCTATTAGATCAATGAGAGGGCTATATAGGCTAGGCCTATATAAAGAAATAATCACTGATCTGACATGACTTGGTTGGTAGCCTAGCTAATATGTCCTTTCACTATCCATCTATCGGTGATGTCGTCAAGGATGGGAGGAGTGAAGGATGTATAGGCTCCGTTATAGGCTATTTGTCTCAGCTATAACGCTAACTTAGGCTACCACTTGTTCACCTTATAAAAGGCTAGTGGCTAGATCTGTTAGGTTATAATAATGGAACGTAAAATTGCTGCTACACCGCTACACCGGCAGTCACGAGTCATGACCGCAGTCAAATTCCACGTGACTGTTGAGTCATGGTAACTAGGCTTCTCCAAAACTGCGCTCTGATGCCGCTGATGGTCATTAGTAGCCTACCAAACTTGCTAACCAGTCGCTAACAGGGGTGCATGGGTAAAATCACTGGGGAAGCCAGAAAAAAAGCCATATAACAACCTGTGTTGTGACAATTGCATTGTTTGCTCTATAACCTGTTAGTTCATATGCTGTGCGACCATGATATACTGTATGTAAAGACCAGATTAAATTGAGAAAAGTCTGATGGGTGAGAATATTATCAAGTGCTTGTCAAATTGTGAATGAGAGACTGATGAAGTGTGTGCAGCCTTTCATGTGACTTTTTTCAAAACATTATTAGTCGCATCATTCAGCCTTAGAATGTATTAAAAATCCATATATATATATATATAGCCTAACATTTGTATCACAACTAAAGTTGCATAAATAACTTTCAATTAAGCATAACGGAGGACCTGTTTCCTTGTTAACCGCTCAACACATGAATAGCCGCATGTGCCCACTTCCTCTGAAATCAGTTGGAGAAAATATCCTTTCTATTTTATTCAGCTACTGTATGTTCAATTGTATTGTTCTTTCTTACTATAAAATAACGCCATGGGAATTTTAAGCAAATCTTTCCTGCTAAATTAGTGTAGCCCACAGCCACATGGCATAGTCAGATCAGAGCCTAACATAAGGACGTCTCAGAATATGCTATTCTATTCTTCTGAATAGGCAACATTTTCTTTAGACCTGACTAAAATAAATAATGGATTTATTGTTATGGTGTAGGGCATGCTATATTAAATGGATTTATTTGACTTTTTAACATGTAGATGTTCCAAAGGTCCTCATCAGTGGCTTGTAGGCTATGCATGGAGCCAGAGATGCTAAACGTCTTTATGTTGATTAATGGTCAATTACCATGAGACCGGCACTTATTTGCATGACAATCACCAGCTGATTAATTTGGAGAGCAGCTTGACTTGGGACAAATACATGCATAGCCCCTGGTCTCCAGGATCCTAAAATAAATCATTTCAATGGGTGTGCTCACGTAGCCTACTAGCCTATAGTCGTTAAAAATATAGTTGTCATAAGGGGTAAATACTACTGTTATTAAAGCACCATGGATAAGGTCGTTCATTGTTGACCATTATGCACAGATTTTTTGCAAGGTGTTCAAGTTTCAAGTTTTAATGTCACATGTACAAGTACAGTGAAATGCATTTCTTGCAGCTCTAACCCCAACAATATAGTAATCAATAACAATGTAATATAAAAAAGAACAAGGTAGAACAAAAACACATGAGATATAGAAATAAGAAGAACAAGATAAACTAAGTAAGCATACTATATACAGGGTCAGTTCTAGTACCATATTTACAACGTGCAGGGTACTGGATTGATAGAGGTAGATATGTATGGGGTAAGGTGACAAGGCATCAGGATATATGATAAATAGAGTAGCAGCGTATATGATGATTGTATGTGAGTGGGTGTGTGTAGAGTCTGTATAAATGTATGTGCATGTTATGTGTGTGTGAGCAAATGAGAGTGAGTGTATGTATGTGTGTTGAGTATCATGTGCGTAGGTTAGGGCCCTGTGAGTGTGCAGAGCGTGAAATAAAATAAATACAAAGTCAACTCAGAAGCGTGTTTGTAGGTAGTGATTACTACTTGGGCGTGTTTCGCTTTCACTGTGAAGCTGGTTGACTCGTTTGTACCCCTGCACGTAAAGCAGACGAGTGAAATATCGTAGCATACCATTTGATACATAGTGAAAGATGATACACTGAGTCATGCAATCAATTGGCCATGGTAGCCTACCTGGACTGGCAACATATTTCATAAATGATAACTTCAGTTGTTGTTGTACTGTGTTATGCCATTTAATGCATGTTAGTTAATTAATTGGAGTATCATGTAATCATGTCAATCAATGGTTTCATGTGATTTTAAATGACATCAGGGGCTATGGACCTGCATCGTTCAGCAAACATGGCAAGTTCATGCATTATAAACCTGAAAACAGTCACAACAAATAGCCTTATACTTGTAGTCTTAACATTGACATAAAACGTCACAATTGCCAGAAAATAGTAACATTCTTTTTGTTTTTTTTTTTTTTACCAAGGTCCACAGATTCACCCAACTCTCCGGGATTTATCTAGACTGCACAAACGTTATTTACAGTCCTGAATGCTGATTATGACAAAACATTTTTTTCTGCTCTAATACGTGGTAACCAGTTTATAATAGCAATAAGGCACCTCAGACTTGTTGTATATGCATATCCACGACTAGGCTTATCTAGGCTTGCGTTGCGTCATGCGAGACAGCCCTCCTGTATATGGCAGATCACAACCCTCCTATTGTAATACCAACTTGTGTTAGCCCTGATGCTATGGTGAAAGCTGGATTCGTCGTGTACCACAGTATGACAAACATTATTTTTACTGTTCTAATTACGTTGGTACCATAAATAGAGTAAGGCCCTCAGGGTTGTGTGGCATTGGCCTATACCACACCTCCTGGGCCTTATCTTAATCATAGTAGTCAAACAACTTAAATCGAATCCATTGATGGAAAATGTTTAATAAGGGGAATTATCTTTTTCTCTTGCTGCAACTATTCTTAAGCTCACAATAATCATTATTTTGATGGATAACCGCATTTTGCTTCTTAGCCTATGTTGTTACAAATTACGTCAATATTCCTTCCTAATTGCTCCATAAAGCAACTCCTCTCTTGCTGTAGAAAACAAATGGGGGTCTAGTTTTCAGGCCTTGTGGGCTGGTTTTGAGAGGTCATTGGTTTAGAAATGCTTGCTACACCTGGCAACCCTGGTGGTTCTCTATATACACACCAATAACGCCATAAAGCAGGGTTCCCCAACTGGCAGCAACGGTTGTCTTATTTGGCTCCCCAAGTTTTCTGAGCATAATAAATACATATTGGACATAAAAGACTAAAAACACCAGGTGATCAGCTCCAAGTGATTTTAATTTGAGAAGTCTGTTCCCAAGTATTGCCACGGATAATAGACATGTGATCGTATACAAACGTAAACTAGATTTGAAATTATTACGTTTTAGTCTAATATTATATCTGTTTGGGATTCTTGCGGTCAATTTGTAGTCAAATGATTTGTAATTATGATCCCTGCCATAACGCAAATGGAAAGGCTATGTGAGAAAAGTTCCCCAGTGCAGGCCTTGTGATTACAATAACGTCACCAACAAACGATTGTAAAAACAGTAACACATTTGGGAAGCGTTGAAGTTCCAAGCGGCCAATTCCATACCTTCTCCGACTGAATGGGCAATCTCCAAGCAGGAATCGTTTACAAAAATGTAAATTTCGGCATCCCTGGCAATCGTTGGATCTGCACAGTCGAACTCCAGTCTTGGCTACCACCCTTTGCTCTTCGTTAAAAACAACTAAACAGAATTTCGCTCGATTCGTAATTACATCCCGCACCGAGACGTACAAGTCACTGTAAAAATTCGCATCTAATTCATCGACGTTCATTGATCCATGATTAGCACAAATAAGTTTAGTTATGGTCGATTCCGTCATTTCTTCAACGCGTTAAACAACGTTATATTCTTGACATATGGTTCGGAACTCTGACGAGGAAATTATGTGTTGAGAAGGAAGCAGGTGAGTGAATCGAAACCGAAACTTAGTATAACCTTTATGATCTTTCCTTCTTCTGCAAATGCAATAAAGCGTTCATATTGCACCAAATAAATTGCAAGATCTTGACAGTAGCCAATGTGTTATATACTGTTTATATAAATAGGCCTGGAATCTTTATCATTGGAATGTAAATATGTAGGTCTGCCTCTATCTGGCTACTGTCTTACTTCTTCTTCTGTGGGTTTTATGGCGGATTACATCCAAAAGTTGTACTGTTGCCACCAACTGGACGGTTTGAAACCCCCCCCCCCCAAAATATAAAAAATAAAACCATCCCCACTCAGTGATTCTAACAATCCACCCTAATAAAAATAGTACATTGCCAAAACAAACAAAACTCCCACTTCTTCCTTCTTTTAGTTCTCCATATCTCCCTTCTCAGGCTCTAGGATCTGAGAAGGTGGTACGGCTTTTACTAATATTCCATGCAACTCCTTTGCTGTGAAATCTTTCAGCCCTAGGAACCGCTCTGCCTCAATCACAATGATTTAAATCTTCCTAGATCTTTTCTCCACCTTGGCAGTGGCATTTATCACCATTGCGATAAAGGCCACAAATTCCACCTTTTTAACCTTTAAAATGTCAGGATCCTCTTGGTGTAAGACAACCCCTGCAGCGAAGGCCTATCCACTACCATGGACTCTTCTGGTGCAACCTTCAAACCCTCAACCCTTTTCACAGCTTCTGCATATTAAATGTTCTGTACAACCCTGACTTTGGCCACCTCATTCTCTTTCACCCTTGTGGGGCATTCAGAAGACGTGGCTTCATGATTCCCACCGCAATTACAACATGTCACATTTTCTTCACTTTTATAACACATTATGATATTTTCCACATCTTGTACATCTCGGCTTCTCCCTTCTGCAAACACTTTCTACATGAACAAAATCTTTACAATGTTCACACTGCATTGGTCTAGGGATAAATGCTCTAACTCTGTAGTTAATATACCCTAACCGCACTACATTAGGGAGAGACTCCATTTAAAAAAACAAAATAACTGATCAACTCTTCACTTTTTCCCCATTCACTACTCCGACGTGCTTCAATCACTCCAGGAATCTCTTCCTAATCAACTTCCCACGAAACGCCAGATATAACCCCCTTGAGGGGTGCCCTGTTCCGAAGAGACATACACAACACTTCAAACTTATCAAATCAATTAAGACACAACACACGTTCCTTCTGATCCACAGAATCACAAAAAATCTAAACAAGCCCGCCTCTCGTGACCCTCACATCCTTCACTTTACCCAGCACACTCTCCACCAGTTTGGAGAACTCAAATGGTTTCTTCAAGATTCGTACTCTGCTCAGCTGCTCCTTATTAACAAACCGTACTCCTACTAGATACGAAGGGTCATTCTCATCACTGTACCCTACTTTTCTCTGTTTTCCATTCTTTTGAACAATACTCCAATTCTCCTTGATTCTACCGCCATTGTATTCAGATTCCACTTCATCATCCGCTTCCTCTATCTTCCCCTTCTCGAATCTCTCTTCACCAGCTCACACAAAAATCTCCTGAACTACTCTCTACTCTACTGTCTTACTGTAAACAAATACCAACTATGCCCAGTAGATGTCAGATGCATCCCATCCAAAAACTCTAGGCCTATGGGAAATTCATGTCAGTCAAATCACTTTGTGATCAGAATTTTTTTATGTCATTATTATCAATATATTGCCATGAATTTGTCGCAATTTCCATCCTTACATTTGTGCATAATTTTTCATAGTGTAAAGCTGCATACTATGTGAGTGTCAGTGGCTGCTGAGGGGAGGATGGCTCATAATAATGTCTGGAATGGAGTAAATAGAATGGTATCAAACACGTGGTTTTCATGTGGTTGATACCACTCCATTGACTCCATTCAACCATTATTATGAGCCATCTTCCCCTCAGCAGCCTCCACTGGGGAGTGTGCTGCCATTACCAGATGCCAGGTAGTTACACACTACACTCACGGCTGCACTCTCATATTACATTGGTGGCAGATATGGGATAGCCCCTGTTGTCTCTGGCCTATGTTGGAAGTGTACCATTGAACACCATGTTGGGCTTCATGCAAAAGTACATATAGGGAGAGTAGGGCTAATTAGCCGATAGTATGCATATAATAGCCTACTCAGGGGTACTCAACTCTTACCCTACGAGGTCCGGAGCCAGTTGTTTTCTGTTCTACCTGATAATGTACTCCTGAGTGGTGCAGTGGTCTAAGGCACTGCATCACAGTGCTAACTGTGCCACTAGAGATCCTGGTTCGAATCCAGGCTCATGTATTCACTAACTGTAAGTCGCTCTGGATAAGAGCGTCTGCTAAATGACTTAAATGTAAATGTAATTAACTGGGCCTTCTTGAAACCCCAGGGGCCCCCAGTGGCACCCGGGCCACTAATTTACATTATTATTGGCCCACTTTTTATGGCTATGAATGAATGGGTTCTCATTCCAAACTCATTCAAAGGAGGGCCGAGTGTCTGCAGGTTTTTGGGTTTTTGGGTTTTTCTTTCAATTAAGACCTAGACAAGCAGGTGAGGGAAGATCCTTACTAATTAGTGACCTTAATGTATCGCTCATGTACAAGGGTGGAGCGAAAACCCGCAGATGTGTAAACACAATCAGCAATATCCCAATATGGGGTTTCCCTTTAAGAGAGAAATGGCTGCAGAACAGAGTCTGGCTGCAGGCTAGACTAAAGTGTGTACCCTGAATATAATTATCTCATTGGCTCCCTGGATCTCGTAGGCGTCTCTTTCTAGCAATGAACTATTTGGAGACCTTTCTCCCCAACAAGAAACGCCTACGAAACTCGGGAAGCCAATAAGATAATTCTATGCAAGGAACGCCTTTTTATCCAGGCTGCAATCAAACCCTGTGCAACAAGGGGGCTGGGCTCAATGCTGGGAATTTACGTCATTTCGCCGTTTACACATCCAAATCAATGAGCAGCACCACGGAGATGTCCGCCTTTTAGTCCAGTCTTCCAGGAAGAGAATTAACCAACGCGTCGCCGAAATGTAGCGCACAGCACCAACAGAAAACAAAGAACTTTAACGCGTTTATGATAAACATGGGCATATAATGGATTGATAACAAACCTTAAACGTATTTATTACGTGGCCCGTAACCCTCCCCAAGTCAGGGAGTCGGGTGTGGGTGTTTTTTTTCTTCTGGTTTATTTCAAAGAGGAGAACGGGAAAAGGAAAGTGGGAAGAGGAGAACTTCCTGAATTTAGCGAGACATGTCAGAATCTCCATCGCAGATCACAACCAAGGTATTTGTTGATTTTATAAAGCAGAATCAAGTTCTAGGACCCCGCGGTGAGATGCGCTAGACGCAGTCGTGTTGTTGACAACTGCATCGTTTGTGTTGGTAATCATCTGTTGCTGAGGGGAACGTTTCGCGGCTGTGTTATAGACTACAGCAGCGCCTGGTAAGTCCATCCATGCTGCGCGCAAGTTTACAGAGTTCGCAGCACACCTGAGATAAACGTTTTTCGTCACGACGTTCATTTTCATAGGCTATTGGTGCTTTCAAGAGAACGGGGAACTCGGAAAAAAACGAGGTCTAATCATGACGTCAGTGAATTTCAGTCCGGAAAGTCGGAGCTATAGAAAGATGCCCATGTTTCCGACTTGGAATTCCGAGTTGGATGACAATTCAAAACGATTTTTCCCAGGCGGAGCTCGTTTTTATCTGAGTTACCAGTTGTCTTGAACCACTGAAGTCCCAGTTGTTGTGAACGCGGCATATGGCTTGTTTGAAAACCACCCGAAATGTGGTTAATGTTATTTGTTGCAACTATTCATGGGAATATACATGTATCTGTCACGATTATATAGCATACACACAGATAATAATTTATTTTCTATACAATACATTTTGTATATGTAAACCTGAAATATGTAGGCCTAAAATATGTAAAATAGTTGCAGTGCAAAAAGGCATGCTGTTTATCATGTTATTACATTACAATGACGGTCTAAAGTTGGATCTTCAAATTTCAGGTGACAAGGAAACTATTTGGGATTGTTGGGATGTAGCCTAGGAGAGTAGGCCTAGATATATTTTGGAATTATATTGTTTTGCAGAGAGACGTAGCAGAGTTAATGTAGGCTATATGTATGCTCCTCTAAACACACGCACACACACACTCACTCTCTCGCTCCCTCTCGACCCCATCTGTACCTGAACACCTTTTTGACCGTACACAGCCTTGTCAAATCTGGGCTGTACAAATGCCAAATCTTCTAAAAGTAAGACTTGATATAGTGTGCTAATGTTGGCTATAGGCTTCCGAAAACATAAAGTATTCTTGAAGAGTAGAGCAGTCTGCGCAATAAAATGAGATTAAAAGCTTATTGCTACATATCCCACAGTGAGTTCCTGGTACAGTAGGCTAATAGGAACTAGCCATTTTAGATTGACTGGTTGAATGAATCACCAATCCGTGTTATACAATGCCTATAAACATAATATTCAGCAGCACTGATTGGCCCAGACATACACTCACCTGTTAACTGTTGCTTTCCATAGAAGATGCTGAACAGAAAGAGGCAAATTAATGATGTTACAATAACATATTACACAACAGCACATGTATACATTGTCATGTTGAGGGGTTACATTTTGTATAAGTAAATGTGCAGAATTACCAGTAAGTTCAACCTCCTGTTTAGTGACTGGCTGCATTGACCATGCAAACGCAGCAGCGTCTTTCTGAAATAAGTCAAATATGATTTAATGAATAAAAAGATTGGCTATGTGTAGGTACCTTATCGCTTAGATACAGAATGTCTTTAAAGGGTGTTATAGTTTCTCTGCATGGTGATTCTCAGGCTGTTTGGGTTTAAGGATGGTTTTCGGGGAG